TTTGCATAACAGTGCCAGGCCACAGTGTCGACGTATTCATTTGCTTCATCAAGCACAGTCTGAGGGTACGATGTCTGATCTGGAAGTCGATTGTTAGCAGTTGTCAAGATAATTGCCGCGAATGAGGTGCCTACCAGTATTGTGGTCGTAAGCCCAAATTTCCGTGCTTAGTCCAGCGCCGGCGAGAGCCGGTCCAATGTACTTTTGGATCAGCTGCGCAGACTCATAGTCGTAAACATACATAGTCGGATATCCAGACTGACTATTCAAGGGTTCATTTTGGATAGTAATAGCATCGACCGTAGCGCCCAATGCTTCGTACGCTTGGATGTATTTCACAAAGTACTGGGCGAATGCACTGGAGTAGCCGGTGCTTCCCGTACCACCACTGGTAAGGTAGCCATCGTTGAGGTTATTATCAGTCGTATTTCCATCAATCACACCATTCAATTTCATCCATCCGGGCGCACTCCATGGGGACCCGAGCACTTTCAGATTGGACTGCAAGGATTTCATCGAGGCCAACATTTCCGCCATAGCAGTGCCACGGTCGCCAAGGCCAAAGCCGGAAAGCGAGGGATCTGCTGCGTTCTCATTATCATCGTAAGTGTAGACCGGATCACCAGACAGATCAGATGCGCCGATAGTATGGCGCATGAGAGAGAAATTAGCTCCATCTGGGGTCATCAGCTCATTGAGGAGCTGTTGGAGGGTTGAGCTCGACAATGTGTTGAAAGACGTGACGGTCGCATCGGTCACAGCAGCCCCAAAGCCAGTAATTTCCTGCTTGTGACCGGATGATGTATCATCGATACTTAGCTTCCAGGTAGATTCCGAGCCTGGGCTTCCACTGCCCTGGATTGGGGCCGCGATCGACGAGAGCCTATAGGTGCCCGATGAATCGGAGCAGTATGCGGAGGCATCGGTGGCGCGTTTCTCGAGAGAAGCATGGCCTAGGGATGCCAGACCAGCCACAGCATACCACAATATCAGGCTCATGTCTGTAAGGAAAAAGATGACCACGATGTGTAGTCAAGTCGAGAGTGAGAGGATGCGAGCAACCAGGAGCTTCAAGGATAGTAATATATCCTGCGCCATATTTTGGCCCCCAAGTGGCAGTTTCAGGGATGCCCTGGTCCCGTCTGCGGTTGGGGGCACAAGTCCCAAGCATCGCCGAAGCTACTGTAGCAAACATGTGCTAGTTTTGCTGACAGGAACGAACTCTAAAGTAAGATAACTTGCCTAATTGAGGAAATGGTAGGTGAGATTGTACCGTTAGTGAGAGGTGCTGAAAGCTTATTCGCCTGTATAATTATCGCTGGCCGCATGCACGCGAGTTCCGCACACCCCGATGCAAGGGGGTTGGAGATCGCTTCGGGCCAAGTTAACCTGATGAGAGTAAGTTGATTGCCGAGACCTTGTCAGGCTCACCCTGCAGTATCTCAGCTTGATTCAGACTATGGACGTTAGTTATAGTGTTCTTGTTTTGTGGCTGATTGGCTGATGATTTATTTTTGTGACTGAATCTGTGTTGTTGGCTGTTGCTGCGCATAATGTCTCTTGTCATGTACGTCGTGCATAAAGAAAAGATACCCAGTAAAAGGGGCAGTATACTGGCACGAATAGCTTCATGGTACGGTCGGTGTCAGTCATCTAGCCTTCATACCCATCCTTATAGGAAACAAAACTAATATCAATTTAGTCTGAAGCATGTCCCAGGAACGTGTGGATACAAAACATTGCGCATTTCACAGTTCTAGCCATGGATAGGTTGTTCCGGCAAAAATCGGGCAACATGTGGTTGTGTGGGGTAGTGGTCATCCCTTCGGATTTTGAGGACTTCGTTGTTTCCAGAGTTCCGACAACCCCGGTTCGAACCCGGGCACGACCTATCTTGTTTTCTTTTGTCTGGCTTATGCCAGAGTTATGTTTCTTTTTCTTTTTTATGGGCATCTCCCTGATAACAATTTGATGTTTTCAACGATCCCTGCTATGTGTTACAATAAGCTTCTCTCACTCTAAGATTAGCTTTCAGCGCTGACAGTAGGAGGTAACTTCCCGCGAGGCTACAGGAACCACCAAGTTAATCCCCGTCTCACCTTCTCCCTCGTCGATAGACAGCTACGTCTGGCCTCCCATCTCTGTGCAACATAAATATCCTGTATCTGCCCCTTCTTTCGCCAGTCATACATATCTGTTCCCATATCGTCTTCTTCACCACCACTGCCATCACCACCATCAGCAACCATGGATGAATCCAGGCCAGAACAAGATCACTCCACCACTTCGGATCAGAGTACCCTGGCTGCCATGCAGAACTTGACAGCATCGATACAGAGCCTAGTGAGATTGCTTCACCAGGAAAGTGAGCGACGAGAATGTCAAGTGAAATCAAAGAACGTTAAGGACAGTGACCCTGTCCTGAAGGCGCTGAGCGAGGAGATTGCAGCCGGGCGGCCAACGCACATCCCAAAGGAGAACCCTGTGGAGCTCATGTCACAAGAGGAGATCGATGAAAAGAATGACTCGTATAGGGAGAAATACACCGGTATGTATTGCCCCACAACACCCTTCAATACTAGGTGAATCTCGAAGAAATAGTGAATTCGAAGTAATACTAACTCGTTGCAGCCTTCTGGAAGGATTTGCCGTCACCTCCAGCTGACATAGAAACCACTGACAATGCTTACCAGTGGGCCTTTGACCTATATTCCCAGATATATCACTCTCTGGGATGGCATAAAAATGAGGATATCCTTTTTACTGCAGATATCCTATCCAAACACCGTGACGACCTTCTGGAAGCACTCTTCGCCGTTGAAGCATATCGGCGTAAGCAATTTGATTGTCCTCTGGAGCCATCACGCGCGGCGTTCGAATATTCACGCCTACCCCGCCTACTGCTGATACTGGCTCGTTTGGAAGCCCGACGAAACGATGGTCTGGAATGCCGCAACGGAGCCTGTGTGGATTGTCGCTACTTCGGCGCCGACCAAACCCTCCAGGTTCTCATTGAAGTGGGTCGAACAGTGCACCACGACAAATACTGGAGTGCGAATGACACAACTTTGCAGGAACTGCTGCATAGCTGTTATGCTCGGCGTATTCTATCTCAGCCTAATGCTGATAAACCTGATGTTTTGCGATACCAGTTCCATCTCATTTACGACTGCCTGGGTGCGTTGGACTTTACGTCGCGGTTCCTTGAAGTTCGAGATGCGCTTTGTCTCACCTTCTATACCAGATATCAAAGGGAGCCAATCCATAAGATATTTGACATGGAAAAATGTCATAGAAGCTCTATGAAGGGCATTGAGGATTTCAAGGAGCTTCCACTTGAAGAGTTCCCCGGTCCGACTTTCTCCCCCGACACACTCACGGTTCAGTACCTGCAGGACTTTGGCGGCTTGAGGATTGAATGGACAGATAATCTGGATGATCATCTCAAGATATTCACGGGCCGCAATGCGCTCAGGATCTTTGCTCATCCCACATTCTTCTACAATTGCCGAGATCTCGTGAGAAGAGACTATATTGAGCCCTTGCACATTGAATTATCTCGGACGTACGCCCTTCTTTTTAGACCATCATCCCGACCGGCACTGCGACTGCTGCAAGAAGCGACCAAGTCAAACGAGATCACTTGGCTGGGAAGGAAGATCGATCCGAGTTCCCATCGGTCAGGTATGGAACAGGGCACTAGCAAGTCGTTTGATGTCGATCTGGCCAAGCCATCAACAACCCGTATCCTGGAGAACTTCCATCGCTGCTCGCTTCCCCCCAGCATTCAAGCCGCTTATAACGTCGCCAACCCTTTTGCTAGTATTAAGGATACTAGCTTCTTCAATCAACACAAGTTCACAACCAGCTCCATGCGGCAGATTCATGCCCTCGCTCCGTACTATCCAGAGGACATTATGTTTATGATAATGTCTATCTTTCAAAACGGTTTCCACTCAAACGAGGCTTTCATAGACTATGAGTACTTTGGTCCTCGATTGCGTCGCCTCAAAACATACCTGGACAACCAGCAGCCCACCACACTGAAGCAGCTGTGGTTTGACAGGAGGGACGCTCGAGCGTGGTGGACTTTTTGGGGTGGTGCTTTTTTTCTCATTGTGTTTGTGGTGTTGGCTGCTCTCAATGTGAGGTTACTGGCTTCGAAATGAGTCGGCCCTGCTCTCAAGCCAAAGTGACCGAACCAGCAGATAGAATTATAACAGAAATTACATATCTGCTGTAGTTGAAAGTCGTTCCTTGAAGGCACGTAAGGTCAACAAAACTGTTAATCTGGCTTATGAGGGCGGTTCGGTTCCTTGATTTTCACGTCTGTTTCTCATAATTGTTTAAATACACCCACATGATGCCGTAGGAACGATTGATGTTAGTCCCAAAAATGAATGTAAATCCTTCACGAACTGTGTGCGTTCATCCCATTCAAGTAACAAGTCCACCGTAGCAAGGCTGATTGGCCAAAAGCAGGGGCCTAGAAGTCGAAAGTAACGCTCTATCTAGTTGTCTGCTATTCTTATTGTTGCTCAATAGAACGATGGTATACAAACTATTTCAAAGTCACTCAGAACGTTCAAACGCAATGCAGCAAGATTATTAGGGCTTGTGGAATCAACACTAAAAAGACTATCTCAACAGCTGATTACAGCTGAATTGCGATAATTCTTTGAGATTGGGTGGACACTTTGGTGTTCTTTCAAACATCTTCTATTTTGAGTAATATTTATTGCTAGGTATGGTTCAACCATGATACAGATATTCATATACATAGTAATGAAGAGTATAGCTAAGTGAATTATCATTAAAGTCAAAGTCAGCTTTCTCCTAATTCTGATTCATCACAAACCATACTTTTCCCGAATAACAGGATCTATCACAATCCTTTTTGGATGAGGTGAGATGTGCAACAAATGGAAGTCAACTGGACTAAACCATGAAGATTCATAGTTTGATAACCATCATCACATAGCATATGTTATATGAAACCATTACAATCGCGAGCTTGGTGTGTTGACTTTCTCCAAGTACTTTCTAGTCTGTTCTCTTGTTAGCGGTTCTATATAACTGATTATCTCTATTTTCTCTTCTTCTATTTATGGCCAAGGAATGCACTCGAGCCGAGGGGACACAGACTCACATGTTCAACGACATCATAGTCGTGGGCCCACTTGAAGAACGCAGGGCTTCTGAAATCTGCGGCAGGATCTGGTTCGATATTTTTGATGGAATCCCAGTCGGTATCAGCATATTTTTGATGCGAGGCCGCGTGATCTTTGTGCCCGAGAAACCTTTGCGTGTTCCAAGCAGCAAAGGATTTGATGCGTTCAACACGAGGCTTTCGAATATCTTCCCAAAATCTACTTATCACTGCGACACTCAGGTAAGGAAGTGACGAAAGCAATATGTGCAATACCCCAATATCCTCGATAGTCTGCGACAAGCCCTGTCGAGAAAGAATCAGCGTATGACTCTAGTGGTGGAGTATTTCCAATTATTCTTGAAAGTCTCCACGTCAGGCTAACCTGTGCTGCATTGGGCTCCATTGCATGGGCTGAGTCACCCAATAGGATGGTTCTGCCAGTCCTACTCGTCCAGCGGGGAAGATTTGGTATTTGGGCGATCTTCCACCTGTCGCACTTAGTCGCCAATTTGAGAACTGCAGAAAGTGGAGGGCATATCCCCTCAAAACGCTGCCTCACAAATGCGATATCTCCATCCTTGGTAGTTTTCAGCGTATCATAATGGGTTGGTTGCATAGGACTACGACGCATACCTCGCTCCACATGCTGGCATGGCCATCATCGTGTTTGAGGCCGAACAAGCCGCTCCAGAATTCCATTTTTCTGGGCTTCCGACCAATGACAAAACGCTCATCGCCTGCCCAAACACATGTTTCGAACTCCTGTAGCAATAAGCTGGCGTCACTATCCGATTGTAGTTCTTTCTGTGACACTGTTACGCCATAGTAGACCGAATCGCTGACTTGCGGGTTCACCGACCACCCCGCGGAAACGTCAAATAAAACTTTAGTACGCAGGCGTGATTGAATCCCGTCAGCAATGAGAATGAGATCGCCGGCTATTGTTTTCCCTCCTTTTAGTTGTAATCTTGGACTTACGCCGGGTTCATCTGAGAAGTCTTCCACGGAACTGTTGAAGAAAATCTCGGCCCCAGCGTGCACGGCATGTTGGTAGAGAATATCCTGTAGAATCGGCCGATGAATGCCCCAATCTGGATATTTGGTGAGAGATGCTGGCAAAGTGCGTATCTTGTCCTTCCCGGTCTTCAGGTCTCGAATGAGGATCGGGAGACAGGTGTCCGCGACTTGTTCAATGGCGTCTCCAAGGCCCCAAGATTGAAGAATGCGAGACGCGCCAGGACGGATCAGCAGTCCACTCCCCTTTGGCGACAATTTCTCTCGCCTCTCAAAGACCTGCATAGGTTTATCATTAGATGGAATACAACTTCAAGGGTGGTCTACTTCCCTGGACATGGTGGCCGTCCTTGGCAAAGCAGTACGCAGCCGCGAGGCCGCCAAGACCTGCGCCCACAATGAGGATCTTCATACTTTTTGACGTTTGGTTTCGATCCTAGTATTTGAATGGACATTGAAGGAGGAGTAAATGGAAAAGTCGTGAATATAAGGGAGACAGCAAATGATCATTTCGGGAATGACGTCTGCACCCGCACACCCGCACAAATGAGCATTGGACGCCTGACCGCGGTCAACCAACCCAGAAAACGAATGGCACGCCTAATCGCCAGCTAGAACGGTCTTTAAATCTGCAGTGAGCCCCGTACTTCTCCTTTGTGCTTATAACAGCGCAGCGCACTACACTAAAAAACATCTCTGTAAGGCAAATCCTACCCGAAGCGAGTTCGCTAAGGGGAAATAAAAAGCATACAATCTAATGTAGAGTAGAAACGGACCTGAAGTCTGAATTACCATAATACGATTCAATTTTCGATTAATATACTTGTGGAGACTTGTTAGTCGTTCAAAATTATCAATATTGCGCTCATTGCTGGTCTTGCATGGGGCAGTAAATAGTATACCCGTGCCCTCCAAACATGCCTTCGAGGTGAGTGCACCAGAGGTATGCAGTAGTAGTACTCAGTAGGCTGATAATTAGGGATCAGAAGTAGTAAATGACATAACTTCCTCGTTATATGAGGAATCATAATATCAATATCGATGACCTTACCACTTATCTTCCGTATCTCTAGTATTCAATAATATACCCTGCTGCACAATTTAGTGCTCGCAACTTATAGGTAGTGCACCAGCATGTAATTGCGGATACCAGGGGAGACTGCGTACTGTTGTACATGTCCTTGCAGAACGAACCGTTAGTCAAAGGTTGATTTAATTAGCTAAACAAGTCGGGCAAATTCCCCAACACATATTCATTGTTCAGTGAAACAAGTAGGAGGGACAAGAGATCAAACTCAGGCTCCCGTTAGGGTAACTTCCGGGCAATCCATACAAAGCAACTGCCGCATCGCTGCTTCCAGTAACCCCAACAAAGGTTGAATGTCAAAGACAGAGCCGCCAATGCCATCGCAGAATCCGCATCCCAAAAAATTGGCGCATAGGGAAACTGGTTTTATGGGTTTCTCGTATGAATATCGTCTGCCATGAAACCTCCAAAGCTGTATTAGCTCCCAGGTATATATAAAGGTGCCATAGAGATGCCCGTTTCTTCTCGCCAATTGAACATCTTACTACCTTCTTCTCATTACATCAGTCATCAATTATATCCAAATCACGTGCCACTGAGTAACCTTTTTCATGACCATAATGGAGTCCAACGGTCGTGAAGACATCGCCCTGCTGTGTCTGGCATACAGGGAAACCCTCGATGACAATTACAAATCGCTCATTGGGGAATTGAGTAGACGATACAACTTAGTACGGTTACCAACAGCCTCAATTGCACGCACGTATTTAGCGAATCACAGCCCGAAGATAATCATCGTGACAGACGGGGGCATAAGCGAGCCAGACAACCAAGACATAGCGAAAAGGCTGAACGCCTATCTTGAGGATGGTGGATCGGTAACATTCGCGCTGGACTTTGCCAGCTCTATTTCTGGAGATGAATTCAAAAATCTCTTTGGTCGGAAATTTGGCACACCCTGGGAGTATGACGGCCGCTGCAAGACCATTTGGAGATTCAATGGAAACTGCATTGTCCCAGCCGGACCGGTTCCAAACTGCTTCTATGATATGGAGGCACTTCTTATCAAGAACGCTTCACCTATCGAGCGAATTGTTGTTCCGCTGGGAAGTTCCATGGTAAGACCCAAGGAACAGGGTCAAGCCGCGGTAGTTGGAAGGAAGCAAGGCAAAGGATATTTAATCTATTGCGGGAACGAGAGTGTTGAGGAGGAATTGTGCAAGATGTTACTGCTTATGTGCATTTAGCAATAGCGCATCTGAAGATTGAATGTACCGGTGGATCTGTACACTTGTAGTTTCACAGAGGAAATGGTATATCCAGAAGCTGAGAACTCAGGTTCAAAAACCACTTCATCTCTTTATTGTCTAATGCCACGTCGGGGTTTGCCTCAGGCTCCGCGGTTCTTTGCTGGGTAGGGGTGACGACTCTACAACTTGTCGTCTGTCCGGTCCTAGTTATTCATTAGTATAATTGGCTTGGCTTAGCATCGTTTGTTGAAGTCCATTCGGATAACATTACACCCAATTGACGAATAGTGAATTCAGTCTAGAATGTTATCTATGGCCAGTGTTAGCAAGGTAACTTACGATATATATAAGCCCAGATCTGAGCAGATGTAAGTTTCTTATGAATACTATCAGTGAATATGAGAGTAACTATGGCGCCTATGAAGTCCATAAGCTTTCCAGTGTTTCTCATCTATTACAGCACTATATCGGTCACTGCCGTTCTAATTTCTACTGCACGTAGGAAGTCCCATCTAGATCGCAACTTGCAACAGTACCTTTAGAACCTTTGTTATATAATCCTGATCAAGTCCTCTGCTTCTCGCTTTACATCGTGAAATCACCTTGCCCTCAGTTCTCCATCATCTCTGTTACTGCTGAGCTTCTTCTTTTCATACAACCAAGCAAGGCAACATGGAGTCCAAGCGCCCAGAGATCCTTCTTCTATGTATCGCACCCACAGACTATCTTGGGGATCGTGTTTGAACCCCTTCTGAAACGCCTAAGAGAACGCGCCAATGTGAAGCGTGCGACCACCATTGACGAGGCATTGCGTGGCCTGGAAGCCAACCCCAAAGTCGTCATCGTCGCTGATGAAGGTGTAACTATACCCGTCAACCGACTCGTCGTTGAGGAGCTAGAGGATTACATGCGCAGAGGAGGTTTGGCCATTTTTGGCCTCTGTTTCCCCGGTTTCGTGACCAAGGACCGTTTCAGGAGCCTTTTCCATGTGAGAATAGGTTTGCCGTGGATTATAGGGGATAAAGAACGAACCAAATTTGAATTTAATCCTGAGTGCACCCTTCCAGCCGGAACAGAGGCTATCTCGCTCCCTAGTCTATACAGCATGGAGGCAGTTTTCATTAAAAATGCTCGCCCCAAGGAGAAGATTTACATTACTGTCAAAGGTGCTATGACGGAGCGGACGCGGCCTGAACCTGTCGACCAGACACAAGATGCGGTGGTGGGAGCAAAGGTGGGCGATGGATATGTGGCTTATTGCGGGGATACCAATCCGGGTAAGGAGCTGGAACAAGTCATTTTGGCCCTTTGTGGCTTTTAGGCATCATGGATAAACTGCCTTCTTATCATATGGTTTGAATTATCAGGCCAATGACTGCTGTCAACTACAGGCTCCACAAATAATTCAAAACCACACAAAGAATGAAATCCATTGTTGCGCTGCACGCATATTGACCTAACTACGACACAATAAAGACATCATAAAGGGTAGACTAATTCCACTAAAGGAAGTTACTAATATACGATTTGAATATGTGACGTATTTGTGTGATTTGGTTTTGATCTTAGCCAACAATATTGACCACTGCGCGAGGTGTAAGGTGGACCCCGATATGATATTGCAGAACGGAGCAGTTTTCCAATCATAGGTGGAATTCGCAGTACAATCAATTCATGATGGAAAGATGCGCATATATACTCCTGACCGGCTAAATCTCGTACATACGACCATAGGGTGTGGAAAACAGGGCTTCCCGTCCGCTCAGCCGTACTTAAGCCACACGCCGGGAGGTTAGTAGTTGGGTGGGTGACCACCAGCGAATCCCTTCTGTTGTATGTTTTTGTATTCTTTTTCTTTTTACTTTTTTCATAAAGAATGTCTCGCGATTATAGTAGAGAAGGCACTACTCTGTAGCGGAACATGTGGTGTGTCATACATAGCCTTGCCACCTTCAGTGCATCTGGCATTATTGCACAACACTGCTGTACGAACATCTGGATTCATTTTGTCAAATCAGAACAGGGCAGAGTGTATTTCTCGACGTGCGACCATACAATAAAACCGCTTGACTTCCCTGCCTGGCCAACGCCTTCCTCTCAAGCTTCACTAACCTCTTACCTTAGTCTTTCGCTCGATATCCTCCATAATTTGGACAGGATCCTTAGTCGCATTCTCCCACTCCCTCTCTATGATCTCCTGCTTTTTCGGTTCTCGAACTTCAAATGGGGCCTTGAACGGCCTAGATGCTGCTGTAAACGTCAATTTGATATCCCACGGGTCGATTTCAATTCTCTTTCCATCTTTGTACGAGTGAGTGATATTGTACGCCCACATGAGCCGTGCCACGAGAATGAAAATGCTATTCCAGCCCAGATGCCTGCCAGGACAAATCCTCCGACCGAAGCCGAACGGGCTGTGTTCAAGGTCTGGGTTGTCGATCCACCTCTCTGGTCTGAACTTATGCGGATCTGGGAAAATCTTCGGATCGAAAGACATGACCCAGATATTGGGAATGATCACTGTACCACTTGGTATCTGATACCCCATGTATTCGTCGTCCTGCGTAGTTGCATGGGGAATTGCAAATGGAGTCGGAGGCTGCCAGCGCATAGCCTCATTCAGGATAGCTCTGATGTATGGCAATTGAGGGATGTCTTCAGAGGAAGGGAGCCGGTCGGGCCCAACAACTCGATCTAGCTCTTGCTGGGCCTCCTTCAAGCAGTGCGGGTGCAGCACGATGGCTTTGATAATCAGGCGTAGAACGGTAAGAATAGCTTCGAAACCGGCTTGTTGAAGTGTACCTATCACATAGGCAAGTTCTGTAGACGAGATCTGTGACGCCGCGTTGGTTTTCAAGGCATTCTGAACCCAGTTCCACGTAGACGCTGACTTGCCGATCTCGAAATGCTTCATATGGAACTTGGTAGTTTCTCGTTGCACGTTGTCCGAGAACCGCTTCCAAGGTGCTAAGCATTCCGGTAGCTTGTCAAGGATTGGGAACAACTCAACCACGCTGTAGTAGCTATTGCCGATGGCATCGAAGGGATGGTTGTTGATAGCGAGGAGTTGGGCGGGAATATCGTTGTCTGTTGTTTCCAGTCGGATGCCGTACCCAAGTGTCATAACGATACTACCAGCATAGCGGCGTATGATTGCCTCAAAGTCGTGGTTATTTAGGAGTTCGGAGAGAGCCTGCTTGCTTTCCATGTTTTCTAGAACATAATATCGATTGACTGCAGTGGAGTCTAGCAACGAGCTCATGATACGGTGCTGGTTCTGCCATTCCTTGCCGTACGGCATGATAGCCGAGTTGATTCCGCGGGTCATGCGGGTCGCGATAGCAAATTGAGGACGTGAACTATAGATAGCACCTCGCTTGGCCAGCAATTCTTGTGCAATATCAAAAGAGCCAATGCTGATGGCCAGTTGTTGCCCATAGCGGAAGGCCACCATGGTGCCATAGCTTTGGTGCCATTTGTGAACCACTTCGATGGGGCGCTGAGTCAACATCTGATGAATGTTGCCAATAACCGGGAGAGGCCTTGGTCCAGCAGGTAGGCGGGCATCTTCTCTCTTAATGGAGAGTTTGTACCCGATCAAAATGCAAAGAACAAGGGTCGAAATAAAGACAAAATGACAGAAGTGCTTGTCCAGCATGGCCGAGCAGTTGTTTGATACTGGCTGAAGCAAGTATGGGGTAGAAGTCATGATGATTGAAGTAATGAAAATCAGTAAACGTGTACAAGTCTAATGTTCCTGAGTTAAAGTTTGGAGAATATATCGTCAATGAAATGGCCGTATATATAGTATCCCCGTTCCTCTTGGACGCGTGCTACGATGGTGAGCTGAGCTGAACGTCTGCATCGCCAGGGAAGGAAGTCTGAAAGCAAGGTTTCGGAGATTACATGGTCTTGATGGTATAGGAAGGCCGTGCGCTAATGCATGGACGTTCTGATCTGGAACGACGTAATCCATGTCGTCACACACGATCAATGCCTAAGTCAAAGCGCTACCTACAGTGAGAGCTAACCATCGGAGAAGTCCGTTTGTGCACATACCTGGACTGACTATCCATTCATCTTGATGTCTAGCATTCATCTTGATGTCTACTGATGCATTCTCCTTGCAGCTAAACCCGTTCCATGTCTGATCTTCCATTAATCCCATGGTTATATTGGAATCTGTTCTGCCGTCCAGCGAGTCAGGCGTTACATGTGGACGTCGCAAAGACGGAGAGGAAGAGGTTACTCGGGGAGGATTTTCTTGGCCCACCATATTCCCCACTTGAGTGCCTATCTAATGATACATGCATCAACCGTTGAAGTAAGCTAAGGGCAGTTGAGATCCGATAGCCGCCCAGGCGCTTCAATGCAGGTCATACCGGGGAAATACGAGTCTGGAACCTTACTGGTGAGGGGAACGGGGTAACACAATTCCGTCGCGCTATTTTTCGCCAGTAAAATGCCTTGCATTCTTGAAATCCACCCAGTATACTTTTTGTTGACTTTTCATTGGCAATCCACTCATAATTCAAGGTTACACTAATCATGTACCAGCACCAGTTGGGTATAATCACCCCTTGAGGCTGGAGATATCGGGGATTATGCCACAAAGCTCAGCAATTGTGAAATGATGTATACAGTCTTAGGTGCCTTTTTTTCTATGATTCAGAAATGACACCTTCAGCGTATGCACCGGATCAGCAATGACTCATGTTTCGATCAGACGCCCATCACACGCAATGCTAGAAATCGCGCAAGGGTGAAATCCGAGATCCGATTAAGCGAGAGTACTTTCGTGAATGAGAGTTCCTCATATTTCCAGGACCCCGTCGAAAAGTATATGATGAGAGTAAATCATCCCGTACGATCCTCGCTTAATCGTAGTAGTGGCTCGCGTGATATCTATATGGTTAGCGCACTATTGATTCATCGGAACAATGGTGAGAACCGAAAGTCCGTTCGATATACTGTGAGTGTAATGACTGATTTCAAGGACAGGACTCCGTCACAAACGCCTTCCTGTTTATCCAGAGGCCTTATCAAAGCCTCTGGTTAATTGGGATATATTTCCTATTCTTCCTCCTCCTTTTGTTCACCCTCATAGTCTTGACTGCCGCTCTCCGGAAGGCAGTCACTCAAAACGACGTCACTGAGGTCCAGAAGATATCTCCCGGAAGTAACATCGCCAAAACAGATTACGAAGACGTTGTCAACAGTTTCCTGCAAGATATTTCTTTTCAAACCCCGGACATGATATTCGATGTGGGCCTGAAATCTCGTGTTGAGAATCGCTTGGAGTCGTATGGTATTTCGCGCAAGTTTATAACAGAGATTGAATCGTGCATTGCTACAGCGACCAAGATATCCAGCTGTTCTTATCCATATACCTCTCCCGAAGTGCTCGAAGCCATTGCCTTATATGCTACATATGTTATCTCGATCGATGACATTACGAGTAACATTCTACCCGATCTCGAATGTTATGGATCTCAGCTGGTTCTTGGGCAGTCCCAAAGACACGAGATACTTCGTGGATTTACAAAGTTCTTGGGAGACCAGCCCCGGGTGTTTGGTGCTTTTGGGGGCGACATGATCATCAAAGGCACCATGGAGTTTATCGCTTCAGCGGTAATCGAACAGAACCAAGATTCTGTCCACCTGTCGCGTGATGCTTCAGATTATCTGGTTTTCTTCAGGGCAAAGACAGGGGTCGCTGAACCCTTTGCCTTCTTTTGCTTTCCAGAAGATATCAACCCTGAATATCGGGACTTGCCAAAATATGTCTCGGCTGTTCCAAGTATCATGCTGTTCTTGGGATACGTCAATGACCTCCTGTCCTTCTATAAAGAGGAGATCAAGCAGGAGGATTCTCCAGGCTTTGTCCAAAGCTACGCCAAGATACATGATTTTACCGCGCTAGAGGCTCTACGGCAACTTCGGCATGAGACAATTAAGGAAGTACGCAAAATTCGGAGCATATTAGCCAAAGATGCCGCCATGGCTGATCGTATTAACCAATTCATCTATGGGTATATTTTCTATCACTTGTGTACGGAAAGATATAGGTTGAATGAGTTGAACATCCCGGCTGCTCATCATGCAAGAAAGCGATTTCAGGCGATGGCTAATGCGTGACTGGATCAAATTTTGGCGAAACTTGGATATTATCTGATTGAAAGAGTTACAGCTGTATTCAGAACAAGTTAGACTACGGTCCAGAGATACCTGGAGGCCTGGGGTGTGAGAAACCTGCAAGGTTTAGACGATTGGCCATAGGAAGTTGTCCGTACAGAACCTTGCGCTTACATTTGGTTTATGAGTCCAATAGTACATGGAATACTTTCCGTAAAAGTGACGCACTTCGCCGGGCCTCATGGAGCCCGTTACTGTCAAGAATGAGAGGTTTTTTTTATGCAATATAAGCCACGCAAGTCTTCCAATGTAGCTAGTAAAACTTGGATGAATCGGCGACACCGATGCACTGATCCTGACACAACGCATACTTACCCCTCACGAACGAGTCATGGAGGTGCTGTGCTGAATGTCCCACTTAATCCTTCGGTCGGACGGATTGTGTAACATTGGATATTCCCTCGACCACCCATCGACCCCTATGTCAATTCACATGGTGGCCAGCTCGCACGCTGCAAAGGCTGCCGAATGCTAGCCATACAGCAGTCCTTCCAGCAATAGCACTCGATTCCTTATGGCATTCGGTTTTACTGACTCGGAATATTCCAGTAGCTCGGAATGCTGAGGGTGCTCACTATGGTCGATCATATATCAAAAGCTTAAGGATTATCAGATATACCTCGTAATCGATTCAATATTCCATTATTTTCTTCATGGCATTCATGCTTTAGACAGGTGATTAATGACTCCTAGCATAACCCTACCGAGTTGTCTTTGAAAGTTCTAGTCGGGGTCGTATAAGTGGAAGTGTCCGACATATCCTACCACAGTCAATCTTCATCGCACTCCAAATTCGACTGAGATTCCAGGTACCATCGCGGTAGCCAGTTGCAAAAGACATTACGAATGCCCACTAAATCGCCCTGTTTCGTGCCTGCTGATTTCCCGTCGATAAACTCCGACCGGTACCCACCATCAAAATCGACGACCCAGGCATTCAAATCGTAGTCTATGACAATATTTCCCGGGTGCACATCGCCCCATATGATATCGTGGGTATGAAGGATCTTCACGGTATCCAGTATCTGCCTTTTCCACTTAGCATGATATTCCTTCATTTGATTGAGTTCATCGCTCCAGATATTTCGCGACCCGAATGGAAGCCAATCAATCAAGATGCCCAGGATTATCTTCCCATTATCAGATAGCACGATAGCATAAAGCTTCGACACATTGATTGACAGGCCGAGTTCTGAAACACGGCTGAGCGCTGACACTTCATTAATGAAAGCACTGGGATTGTTGGCAGGTTTAAAAAGTAGGCCGCGTTCCGCTACCTGGACATGTCGCGGTATGTCACAGGTATGGTCGAATTCGCTATCTGGGTCCTGGTCAATAAGCACATCGGCTGCGCTGACTTTGAGGACACTAGGAGGAAGGCCTGAAATTGACGCGCTTATCGTAGGAAGAGTGGACTTGGAAAAGCGCCTATTAACAGTGGGAACTGCTGTGATTAATTCATCAATTGGCATCAACTGTAGTGTGTGAGCTCGAGGAAAGGTAAAACTTTGTAGGCTAATAGGACCTTGTATTTCTGGAGCATTGCGTCGAATGTATTGTGCGCATGGGACGATCAACCAGTCCCATGATTCTTCGAGATTTTCACTGTTGTTTGAGTCTTCTTCGAAATCCGTGGCTTTTTCACTTCTGTTAACTTTCTTCAGCCACTCATTAACCTGTGCTTCTAGAGAGGTGCCGAAGAATTCAGAGGCTCGCAGGGTGATTTCGAACAAAACCGCTCTCGATATAATGACAAGAAAAGCAGCCTCAGCACAAATTTTGTTCTCAATTATGCGATGGTTAGGAACGCTGATAGCCATTTGGGTGAAGCAATAATTTTTGAAGAAAAACTAAATGTCACGGTGAACAAAGAAATATTTCTCAGATCAGTATTTAACACGACACGTTTGAGGATAACTTTAGCGGGAATAATAATAACGTGCGAAGAGGCCAGGAATGGTAGGAGTGTGAAGAGTGGATATTTGGAAGATGTCTGTGAACAAACATGATTAGCGGCAAGTGCCTTTGCAAGGAATTAATATCCCGCGTGGTCCAATCAATATATGTTGAAGGCCCAACATTTCCTATGCACTTCAACCAAGGATAAAGTTCCATATGCATGCCCATTGAGACTGATCCTTACATTCAAATATCATCCCTCGAACATGTAAACTGCAATAAAGTGGGTTAAGCTTGAAGCTTTTATATATACTATACCTTTAGTAATGAATTTGATCGGATACTACATCTCAACTGGTCATGTATAGATAATATATGATCTTTCTTCTTCAATTCCTTTGATCAAATTCTGACCCAGACACATAAGATATTAACTACTCGAAACTATTTAACCACCTAACCAAATCCGAATCCTCATCCATCCAGGCATTAAAATCCCATGATATCCAATCTCGTGCCACAAATCCGGGCCCAGTCCCTTCCCCGACCGCATCTCCCTTGTTGTTTCCACTACCATATTCACCCTCCACCACCTCCCCCGCCTCCACAACTGGCACCCTTCCCCCCAAAACCCGATCAAGGATATGCCTAATCACTGACCTCGCCTGCTGGCAAACATCATAGTTCCCCGCCTGCTTGGATACTACATACTCAAGATCCGCAGCAAAGCGGCTCAGATTTTGGATGATTTCCGAGCGGGAAACCCCCCCTGCTGACTGAAAATTGGAATCGGGGTTCTGTGATTGATGCAGCAGTTCAACAGCCAGGACACCGGCGGGGGGTAGGCCGAGGGAGGACATCTAATTCTTTTGAGTAACGAGGGAGAAGAGGAAGGGGAAGGGAAGCATACAATCCAAACAACAGAATTCCCATCACCCCCACCGACAGCGCGATTGGCAATCAACAACAATATATTGTCCAGCAGCTCGTGCGCGACAGCAATCAATTTCTCTGTGCTGGCGCCCGTTCGCTGGACTAAGATCCGCTGGAGAATGAACTCATTATAAAGTGAGTCCATGTGCACGAAAAGGCAAACTTTGGCTGTTTCGGGGCAACGGTCGAAGTCCGATGGCGTGCTGATACGGTACAGCGATGAGGGGAGCGAAAGACGTGCTTTTGCGGCGAGGGCGGATATCTCTCTGTTGGGTTTTCCACCATTCTTTCTTATTAGTCCTCTGCAACTCTTCACTGGAAGAAGACAAAGGGAAAGGTACTTTGGGGCAAAGGGGCGGAGGTGGCATCTCACGTAATTTTCTCCTCCAATTCTGACCCCTCTCCTTCCATGATGTTCGAAACTAGAGAAATCTCTAGTGCTGCCTCCCTGATAACCCCCATCATGAAGCATGCTCTCGCGTATGATCCCCGTGTATACGCCCCCTCTGCGTTCCAGCCATTATTATCCAGGCGTGTCATCGCGGCGTCGAGAACTTCTGGCGAGGCTATGATATCTGCGAAGGCTATGTCCAATGGCGGGTCGACTGTGATATACCGACGGATCATGCGGGGTGGACGACCTAAGAATGTGGAGAGCCCTTTGTCCATGGCGTAGGCAGCGACGACGAGGCGTTTGCGGTGTTCCGCGCGGAAGAAAGGGAGTTTTGATGTGGCATCGCGTTGGTGGTAGCCCAGGGTGAAGAGAAGGGTTATTAGTGCAGAGAGGGTCTTGTAGGGACGGTAGTCTGTTTCTTTGTTAGCATTGGTGGGGGGTAGAGTAGGGAGAGAGGGATTTTGGTAAGTGGACACTAGGTAATAGGTGTGAAGAGTGAGGAAGGTGGGTAGGGTACCGTAATCCCCATAGAGCAGGGTAAGAAGCGAAGCATGTTCCAGCGTCGCCCAACACAGCTGTTCAGAAATGACACCGGTGTAGTCGAAAAAACGAAGACAGATTTCACTCACGGACACACAGACAGCTGCAAGACCCTTTTTGTCAAGCGGGGGACGGTTCGGTGGGGAATACGCAGCCAGCTCGTGTTGCGGGAGGAGACACGCGCTGGAACCAATCACCGCAAAGACTAGCCCTATAATCTCCCAACGGTTCGACATACAGGAAAAATATTCCGTGTGGGTGATGGCAGGGTCTACGATCAATGGTTTGGAGGAGGCAGTAAAAATGCTTCGGGAGAGGATAAGTAGAGAAGGGAGCGGATTAGCGGGATCGGAAATGGCCTCGTGCAGCATATTCCGGATGGAAGACAGGATCAGACGCAGGGCAGATGGGGGAAATAGATCGCCTTGGCAGTGGTCGAACCGTGCCGTGGCCATGTGTTCGTATAAAGCAAAATCATCGAGCAGGATGAGGAGCAGCTCGGCGCCAAGCTGGACCTGGCTGTCGTCGATGATGGCGCTGGTGTTCTGCTGCAGGGATTTAGCAAAGAGGGCTATACTGGACGAGCCATCGTTAACGTCGTCACGCAGCACGGATAGGTAGCTGGTGGGCCCGAAGACGCCAGTGCTGGGGGTCGAGGTGCTGCGGTGACTACAATCGGCGAGGTAGCCGTCGCGGAGATGGCCCGGAGGCAAGGGCGGAGTGACTAGCGAGGGAGGAGGCAGCGGGCTCGTCCAGGCACTGCTGATACTGGTACTGGTAGTAATGTTGCTGCCACTTCCGCACGAGATGGAGTCGGTGGAGCTGCGATCCATCCTGTTCGGATGCTTGGACATCGGGGCCGGTTGGTACACGCACAGGGCCGGCTTGCGTCTGCGCCGGCATCGGCCGCAAGGGGCGGCGTGGTCGCATCGGATCTTGGATTTACGGCATGGTTCGCAGGAACTGAGCACCCCGTTAGAGCGCAGTAGCGACATGGTGTGCGTGTGTGGGATGAAATGGTCGGAGTGAGGAGGGGAGGGGAGACTTTTGGTGACGGACTCGCGAACTTGCGGAGTCGGGGTCGGGGTCGGGGTGGAGATGACAAGATGCAAGTGAGATGCCCATGCATTAGACTAGTTCAAAACAGAAATAGGAGCTGACTAGTAGGAGGAAGTACCTATATCTGACCAATTGCCATCTATCTGGTTATCTATTAGGCCAGTACATTCCTCTTGCCCAGGCTAAACCCAATCAGCAGCGCATCCACATCATTCCAACCCTACCCCGATTTTTCCTGTCCGCAACAAGTACTAGGGCAGCACGCAAACAACTCCCTCAACTAGGCGATATGTGTATACCGATAGTAACCAGAGATTGTACAGATTACTCCTCAAACCGCTGCCTGCCCAGCTCCTCCTTCTCCATACTCACCTCCTTCGTAAAACATGACGCCACTAATCCTACCCCCGCAAAGACAATCAACACAATCCAAATAACGTGGAACGAATGACTATACACGCCTGTCACCTGGTCCAAGACCTCCTTCCCCACCTGTCCCCTCAGATCCCTCAACTGAGGAATAAACCCTACCGCGGCTTGACTATTCTCCAGCGCGGCCAGGGTGCTAGGCAGGGTTCCCAGCGCCTTAATCGACTTTTCAAAAACGCTGCTAAACACTGTCGACCCGATCGCAAGACCGACTAACCCGCCCAGTAATCGGAAAAAGACCAGTAAGCCGGCGGCAAACCCCGTGTCGTCGACGCTGGCAACGCTGGCTTGCACCGGAAGAACAAGTACGGTAAAGAGAACGCCGATTCCCAGGGAGACCACGATGGGGAGGCCCGTACGGAAGGGCACGGATGAGGCGGGGGTGATGATGTGAAGGAGTCCAGTCCCGACCGTGAGGAACACCCAGCCCGTCCAGATGTTCACGCGGTATTTGCGGAGGTAACTGACGGAGATTGGAGAGACGCAGCTGAAGAACAGGGACATGACATTCATGGGGAGCAGAGTAACGGAGGCGTGCAGGGGAGTTTCGTAGAAGGCGGCTTGGTAGAAGAGCGGGAGGTAGGTGTTGAGAGTATAGGTGACAAGGCCGTGGAGGAAGCCACCGAGAAAGGTGGTGATGGCGGTGGCGGATTTGAAGAGCCGGTAGGGGAGGACGGGCTGCGCGGGAACACGCTCGTAGACGACGAAGAGGGCCAGGACGACCAGGCCGAGGATCAGCGGGAGGAGAGTCCGCCAGGAGCCCCAGGAGTAGAGAGCCCCAGCCCAGCTCAGCGGGAGGACGAAGGCGGCGCAGCCAGCCACGAACAGGGCCATGCCAAGCAGGTCCAGGAGACCAAGTTTCTGCAGGAATGTGCCCTCGACGGGGCGCAGGCGCAGGAAGAAGAACGTAAGAATGAAGCTCGCGCCGATGAGAGGCAGGTTGATCCAGCCGATCCAGCGCCAGGTAACGTACTGAGTGAAGAGTGAGCCGATAATGGGACCGAGCAGGGCGCCGCCAGCCATGGGGATAGCCAGCAGACCGAGATACTTGGGGCGCTCTTTCATAGTGGTCATATCAGCGGTGATAACCTCGTTTAGCACGTCAAGGCCGCTGCCCCCGACCCCTTGAATAGTGCGGCCGACAATAACAGTGGCCATGTTCGGGGCCAGGGCGAAGACGAGCGAGCCGACGATGAAAAGAAAGTATGCGGTATACAGCGGGATCTTGCGCCCGAGTACGTCTGATCCGCTCAAGTAGAGGGGCTGCACGACGGACACGGCCAACATAAAGCAGGTGCTGGCCCAGAAGGACTGCAGGGTTGTGCCTCCGAGATCGCGGGCGATGATGGGGATGGCCACCGCCAGGGTGGTCGTGTCCAGTGACACGATGAACACCATGAACAGCAGGCCCAGGAAGGCCAGATGGAAAGAGAGCGGCTTCTTGGATTTTGTCTCGGGGGAAGACTGTTCCGCTGATCCTTTCTCTTCGGAGGACACATCCATGGCAGATTGTCCTTCCGACGCCGTCTTCTCGTCCACAGGATTATCCATGGTTGTGATTCAGGAAAGCACCGTATTACCCCAAAAAATGACAACCGCCAGTCGGACATACTGCGACTCAAATACCCGTGTCAGGAGAGTTGCCTGCAGGATCCATCGGAGTCGGCCTCGGAGTGGATCCTTTGTCAGGATCTCAGCACCGATCAATTTATAACGAGGGGGTCGTGCCAGTGCTGCCCCCACTCCATGCCGGGACAAGAATTCTTAGCCAGATAAGCAATTTGGCAAGGCTTATTTTGTCCCTTCCTTTTACTCTCGGAATACGGCGAACAGGCTATAATAATCGAGTTTGGAGGTAATTTCAGGAGCGCCAGATCAAGGCTTCAATACTTTCTTTCTACACGATAGTTCTCCGACTATTTGAACCCATCTACTCGCTCCCATTCAGATTAGCCTGGGCAATCAACGCATACACATGTCGCGCCGCAGCTGGCACCCTCTGTCGATCCCCGCTGCTCTCAATCTCCAGCATCTCCTGGGCCCATTCCGCAATTGCAGCAACCAGGGCGTTAACCTCCGTGTCCGTGTTTGACGCATGGAAGATGATCCGGACGCGTTCCGTCCCCTTGGGCACCACCGGATACGAGATAGGGAAGACCGAGAACCCGGCCCGTTGCAGGTGAAATGCAAGGTAAAAGTTGTGCTTGGTGCGCGTCCGCAGCTGGATGATCTGGGTGAGGACTGACTGGACATCCGCGTCTTCGTACGTGGGAAGGCGTAGAAGCCCGGTATCGCTGGCCTTGCTCCAGATCGGGTCAGAGGTCATAGTCTCCAGGAAGAATTTTACGATTTCTTGGACGCGGTTCTGGGCCTGGTGCTATGTCAGCTCGAGCTTTCGGTAGAAGAGGGGGCAAACCATACCCCTTGGGTCTCGCCACTGCGCAAGAGCTGGTATGTAGCGCGAATCGAGGCCAGCATGGGGAAGGATGGCGCCACGGAAAACATGATGCTTCTGGCGTAGTTGATCAGCATCGTGCGCACGGTATCATTGCACAGAATCACGGCTATGGAGTAAGTCAGTGTTTCCTTCAGCAACAATACTTCAATCGTATCTTACCTCCAGTCGCAGCCAGCGCCTTCCCAAATGTATGCAGTCGGATCGCCACTTCGCTTTCCAGCCCCAGGGCGCAAACCAGCCCAGCACCGTTGGGCCCAATAACCCCGGTGCTATGCGCTTCGTCGATGACAAATTGAACGTTGCCCTCCGGAAACACCTCCTTGGCTGTTTCGATCAGCTCCTGAAGCGGGCAGATATCCCCGTCCATGCTATAGACCGACTCAACTGCCACCAGGACCGATCGCGTGCCGTTGCGAATTTGGGGCTGCGACTCTTGAACAGCCACCAGTACATCATACAGCGATTCGGCGTCATTGTGGCGGAAGGCCTTGCGGTACAAGGCCAAGCTGTCCTTCATGCCATCGTGCACACTGGCGTGGATGAGCTCATCGTACACAATGGCATCGCCGGGGCGTGGAATGACGGAGAAAATAGCGGCATTGCCCAGGCTCCCCGTATTGACAATCAATCCAGCCTCGGCACCGTGAAATGCGGCCAGCTCACGCTCGACGTCTTCCAGGTATTTGGAGTTTCCGTCAGTCAAACGCGATCCGTGACTGCTCAGCTTGAAATCAGGGTGCTTGGCGAGCTCGTCCAGGTAGCCTTTCCGGACGGAGCCTGATGTGCTCAGCCCGAGGATATCGGTAGAGGAAAAGTCCACCATGGAAGTTTGTTCCTTGGTGTGCAGCATGATACAGCCATGCTGGGCTCGACGCACGTCGAGCTCTTCTTCCAGGTTCCGGTAAAAGACGGAGGCATTCTTCATGTTGGGGGCCTTGGGCTGTTGGGCTCTCGCCCATTCAACGATAAATGAATCAGACATAGTTTGAGTGCGTCGAAGGTATTACGGGAGGAACCACAATGTAGACTGGGAGAAGAAAGCACATGCTCAATGCTTCTGGGGGTTGGCTGAGTAGGCTATATCAACACCTGTGCTATCTGGAGCTGCCGTTGTGGTGTCAGCCCGGAATCATCGATAAGAATATTCCCATAATCAGACCGTCGCATTGCGCCATCCCTCGTGTAAGATACGCTATACAGCTAGTAGTTGTCGGTTTATCCTATCACAAGGGGTTCTAATGCAGTCAGACTGCGCTGGAGTTACAATGCAGGTGCAGGAAGCGGGGGGCAAATGGTCAGTAGCATCAAAGTTACTATGCTTGGAAAGGAAAGCGCTTCGGAGGGCCCGCAAGGATTAGGTGTCCGGTTAAGAAGCTTGATTGATTGATCAATTAATTTCCTCACACATGCTGATGTCAGCCCTAGCAGCCGAGTAGCGGGTGGTATCAATCTAGCAGCCAGGCTGCTGCCAGTGTGGCAGGCAAATACTTGCGTCCAGGGCCATGCGATACATGATATAGGAAAGTCCATACAGCACAAAATATTTGCATACTCCAAACCTCGCTCAACGTACCTCTCAGAATTGCTCGGATTGTGATCCATGTGGGTTCGCCTCAGGTCCTATTCACGGTGTGTCGTCACCACTGAGAGGAGACGAGTCCCGTGCGGCTATACTGATCGGACTTACATAGTGTTAAGAGAGGGGTAACAGTCTAGATCATACTCGACACTAAAATATCACGGCATTCATACAGTACCAGTGGTGAAACATGATAAACTCAGTTTCCTGGTGCACCATGCACCACTGCACCTGGACACGTATAAAATACTACAGATGTCTACATTTTCATTGGTCCCTCCTTCCTCTGTACTGTAAGATTGTCTCTGGATTACAAAAAGGATTGAAGACGTACGACTGATTTCAATAAACTCAGCTATCAACGAGATTTGGGGGCCAATTTAATTAGGCCAAGAGTCATGCAAGATAACGAGAGTATATTGGCGAAGAGGACAAGCCTGAAGTCTTTCAATCATGACATCTATCTCACA